TGTTGCATCGAGGTTATAATACCTCGAAACTTGATTTTTGTGATGAACATATGAACACAGCTTCATCTACTCAGCTCGTCGCGCTATTCATTTCTTATATATACATATTTCGCTTCTCACGCTTCCTGCTTCGCATTTTATTGAGCTTTTATAGCATTTGTCGATTGAATAATATAAAGGATAAATAAAAAGCTGCCAGAGTTAAGCTTATGGTAAAAGCTTTTATAGCTTTCATTGGCTGGGACATCGTAATAGCTGTCTCTTATACACATCTGCTTATGGTAAAAGCTTTTATAGCTTTCATTGGCTGGGACATCGTAATAGAAGTGAAGCGGTTTTATCCTTAAGAGCTTCCATCGGTTTATCAAATATCACAAACGAGGTTATAAGAGTAAAAATAAAAAACTAGCATAGCTTAACAGTGCTTAAAAGTTTCACGAGTAATACAGCATAACATAAAAAATTCATATGCAAAAATTGTATAAGAAATTAGTATTTTCACTAAGCTCATTATTAGAGCTTTTAAAAGACTTTGTACTCTTTACTCCTGAATACAGACCATACAGATAAATTTATCGAGAGTTTTTACAGTTTTTTTGGTAAAAAATATAAACTTTAACCCTTAAGCTTATTAACAGAGCTTTCATTATGGATGCAAGTCCAATAGTTCTGAATACAGATGATACAGGAATTAAATTCATTGACAAAGCTTTAGGCCATTTTTTCAGAACAAAATATAACCTTTAACTGTTGAACTTACTAATAGAGCTTTCATTGTTCATGCAAATCCAATAATCCTGAGAACAAATAATACAGGAATTAATATTATTGAAAAAACTTTAGAGCTTTTTGTGACAAAAATATCATCTTTATCCGTTAGGCTACTAATAGAGCTTTCATTATTGGTTCAAATTCAATAACTCGGAAAATAGATGATACAAGAACTAAAGTTATAGATAAAGCTTTAGAGCTTTTCGTAACAAAAATATGATCTTTAACCGTTAAGACGATACAGCAGTTAAAGTTATTGACAAAACTTGAGAGCTCTTTTGTGAAAAAATATAATCTATAGCAGTTAAGCTTACTGATAGAGCTTTAATTATTTGTTCAAATTTAATACTAGAAACCACAAGACTAGACAAGCTTATTTTGAAAGCTTATAGAACTTGCATGAGGTAATGTAGAATGAAACAAAAAAGATCTCATTATAAAAATTCGGCTATGAAATGCGAAGATCGTTATGATCTTTAACTGTTAAGTTTGCTTAAGAGCTTTAATTTTTTTTTTTTCAAAAAGAATATCAGAAACAAAAATTCTAGAGTTAAGGTTATGTTATTTAACTTGTATATGCTTGACAGGCTTATCAGAGCTTAGAGCTTTCAACGACATTATAACTTTTAGGATTTTTTTTAAGTTTATGGTATATAACTTAGCTTACAGCTTTCTAGCCTCAGCCGAAAATCAGAAGACATGCACAGAAACAGTTGACGTTAAGCTTATTCTGGGAGTTTTCTGAACACTATAGAAACCGTTAGTTAGAAAGCTTAAATTCTTTTTATATTTTATATAAATGTTTATTACATTTTTATAAACTAAAAATCAAATAAATGTTATGTGAGCCTACTTTCTAGCTATCACTGCAACTAACACCACTAATATCTTATAAAAAAAAATAATTCTATAATATAAAACCATACGCTCAAGCGCAACATTTAAGTAGGCACTGTAGCTGTATTCAACGAACCGAGGCCATAATATAGGGTGAGTTCTACCCGAGGATTGTATTACATTTCTTTCGAGTAAACCACTAAATGTCAGCTCTTCTCGCTCTCCTCTATCGCAACGAGATGTATGATGCGGATGCTAGAGACACGATACTAGAGCATAGCGAATTCTCCGAGTACACGTAACGGAAACAGTACTTCTCAGTTGAGCTGAGCGCTTAACTGAAGATATAGTAGCAACAATACAACAACCCCACAAATGAAACAAGTCACAGCGAATGCATTGAGAGCCACACACTAGGTATTGGTATAAGTAAATAAGAGTGTCACGTCGAAATTTGTTAATAATGAGCTTTCTAAATCTGATTATTAAAGATTAGTGTATAATCTTTAAATGTAGAAACAAATGTGAAGTGGGTGGCACACGCAAAGACTGCACATTGGATACACCAAACGAAGACAAAATGCTCACCCACACATACACAGGCATTGTGCGGGCTCTGGAGCGCCAAGTGTCCAAACGAGCCCAATGCTAAAGTCAATAGAGAGCAAGTGCCCGAAAATTGAAGCCGTGTGGCTGCAGCAATATAAATGCATCCCCATGCCACCGAATTCGAAAAGTGTAAAAAAAACATGAATCCACGGTACATAAGGTGGTATAACTAATAGTAGGCACCCCTACACATACATACATACATGCACACACACAGGCATGCTACAACAACGAAGTGCACATCAACTACACTGGCTGCAACTACAACGCCAACAATGACAACTGCGTCGACAAGAACTGCACTTGGCCTCTGTGTACCTCGAGGTGAAGTGGAGTACATGTATCTACTAGTAGCATTTAGATACACTACACACATATACGTGCGCACATATGCATACATAGCCATGCATGTGGATGAAATACGAAACTGATGGCCGCAATAAAATCAAACCAATATCCTTCAGTGGACACCCGACTGACTTCTCGCATTCGTAACAGTCTGCTATTGTGGTTTTTATGCCACAAAGAGTACCAGTGCGAAAATTGCTGAGCTTGTTCGAGTATTTAAGTGTGTGTGGGGTTGGGCGGAAAATAATAAAATGAGTAACAGAAAAAAAAAAAAATACAACAAAGTATGCGGTACGTTTTGGTGTGGGTGAAGTGTAAATAATACTGGCAGGCGTTCATACAATGTACGGTAGGGATGTAGGTATGTATGTAGTTGTAGTCAGCGAAGTTTGCAGGTATGCATTGCGATTTGCTCCGAGTTAAAATTACTTAAGATTTGCATATACTGGCACTTAGTTAGTACTCGCACCATTTGACCGTACAGTACATATTTGGGGGTGAGACGATAATGCCAGCAATTTGTTGGGGCAGAGTTGCCAGTGCAATGAAAAGAAGTTGAAAATATGTGCGAAATATATTATAGCAAGAATTTAAGATGCGAGAAGTGCATGGGATGGCAATTTAGAATAATGCTTAATTCAGAAATAACGAATTTTTCATATAAGAATTTGAATCTGATCGTTCACTTTGTATGACTGCTATATGATATAGTCGATCAATTTAGAAAATTTCTGCAGATATTGTAACATTGTCTTAGAAAATAATCTACACCAAATTTCGTAAAGATATCTCCTCAAATAGAAAAAACTTATATATAAGAACTTGATTCCGACATATTCAGTTTGTATGACAGCTATATGATATAGTGGTCTGATCTGTACAATTTCTACGAAGATTGCACCATTGCCTTGGACCATAACTCATGCCAAATTTCTTAAAGATATCTCGCCAAATAAAAAGGATTTTCATACAAGGACTTCATTCCGATATATCAGTTTGTATAAAAGCTATATGATGTAGTAGTTCGATCTAGAAAATTTCTTAAGATATTGTAACGTTGCCTTAGAAAATAATTTATAACAAATTTCGTAAAGATATCTCGTGAAATACAAAAGATTTGCATACAAGCACTTGATTTCGAACGTTCAGTTCGTATGGTGGCTATATGCTATATTGATCCCATCTGAAAAATTTTTTATGATTTTGCACCATTGACTTCGACAACAATCCATGCCAAATTTTTTAAAGATATCTCATCAAATAAGATTTCCATACAAGGATTATATTTTGGCCAATCTGTTTAACTGACATACATACATATATAAGTATTGTAGTGGTTCGATCCGAACAAAAAGTTCGGAGATTTTAGCGTTGCCTTAAATATTATGCTGAATTTCGCGAAAATATCTTGTAAAACAAAAGAAAGAACTTAAATTTTACTGAAATGAAACTGAGGTCCGCAATACGTTTTTTAAGTCCGTCCACTCTAAAGCTTCACATCATACTAAATTGTTCGCCATTTATGCGTGAGAGCATTCATACATAAGCCTTGACTTAAGGGAAGGGCGAGAATGATTTTACCACATTAATAAGATTTCGTGTTACTGATACTAAAAGTAGATCAAGTCAATATATTTGGTCCAGCAGTTCGGTAAAACGCTAAAAACTGTTGTCAGAATAAATAATCGAATCATTTCGGAAAACTGACTTTACTCATAGACACGGATGCCATTTTGATAAAAATGAAAAAAAAATTATCCTCTTCTCTATATGAAAACTCGAAAACTTTCCTGCAGAGCTTTAAAGTTTTCGAAATTAGCGCATTTCATTTCTGACATGTCTTATAAGGCTTAGATTTTAAATCGTCTATATCTGCTACGAAATATTTTCGAGACATTCTGTAGATTTTATTTGTAAAAAGAAGTCATAATTCAAGCTTTCTTGGCAACTCGTTCACCTATTGGTGAATCTTTCTTCTTCTTCCTTTTCTTCATATGACAAACTACCGCAACTAAATTATAACACATAATACCAGTTAAGTATTAACAATATGTAACTAAATGTTGAAGGCTTATAGCTTTCGAAACCGGTGCGTACTACTTAAATGCGGCCATAAACACTTCCAGCCAATTGAATAACGGCAGTCGAGGAGAAAAAGAATCATGTTCGAAATATAAACCCTAGATATTAATTTTGCACATGTGTATATCGAACACTTTAGGGTAGTTGTATTGCAACGGCTTCCCAAAATAAACAAATGATAAATGAAGCGAATTGTTCGCTGATTGAAAAATGTTTGAACTTTTGATTTACTTAAGCGTACGCGAATGACCTTTTCGAGTATCGGTTTTCAGTAGTGCATTTAATCTGTATTTGTATATTTGTTGGTATATATACACCATATAATATATAGTCATGATTTTTATTTAACTTACCATCTTTAGTTTTTTCGCCTTGCTTCGGTGATGCGATCTTCTTGTTAGATATGGATCTGAGGGTGGTGTTGATGGGCTGTAGGGAAAAAAGAACAAAGATAATATTAAAATATTTTCTGCACACTTTTGGAGCATTAAAATTTTTAATTCAAATTTTTCGAACATAGCAAAATACTATTGAATAAAAAATTCGAATATCAATTAGCTGACAGATAAATCCTGCTATTTTTATTTTGTTTCCAACTTTGTGAAAACTGTAAATTTTCGTTTACATGCTTTTCGAATATAGGCAAATATTAATGAATAAAAAAATTCGAATATCAATTAGCTGACCAATAAAGGTTTGAATTTTTTCGAACATACATACATAGCAAAATACTCCTAAATATAAAAAAAAAAGCACAAAATTAATATTCAAGCATTTTATTCACCCATTTGGGACATTTAAAATTTAATTAGAATTTTTTCGAACATAGCAAAATTCAATCAAAAAATTCGAACATCAAGCAGCTTATAGATCATTTTTTTATTTTGTTTCCAGTTTTTTAATTTTTATATCTTCATTTCGAATTTTTCGAACATAGTAAAATTAATATTTAATATTAAACAAATCCTAAGGACACAAAAAAATAATATTTGAACAATTTAAAATTTTGAACATTTCGAACAAAAAAAAAACAGCTATTTAATGAAATTTTCGAACATCAGCTGACAAATAGATGCTTTTATTACAAAAGAGTATTCCAGAAAATTTTCATATTAAGTAATCGCACCTAACAGACGAATGCTTGTGTAAGCTGTGCTTAAATAACTCAATAGCGTGCAAACACTATTTAGTAATGTATAGTATCCTCTTCAAACTAATCTTCATATTTATTTCGAGTGATAAACTCATTGATTTTAAGACATATGAAAGTGTAAGCAACCCTTTTACCTGTCCAGACCGAAGTCATTTAGAAATATTGTAAATGGATAAGCTCATTATATGTATATAATATATAAATACATATATAATTTTTCCCTTATCGCCTTAATTTAGTGAGCAATTTAGATTATTTAGCGAATTAGGTAATTTTATTGCGACACTAGAAATATAACGGCGATAATATTACAAGCTGTAAAGCACATATTTTTCATATACCTAGTATATACTGACACTTTTTCACTCTTATCTTCATAACTTTATCACGCACACGTGTAAAAATAATAAAAATAGAAACAATTTCAAGTGTAATCAATCATTCAGCAATACAAAAAAATATATACAATATGAAAAAAACGTGAGTAAGAAACGCGAGTTAAAATGAAATATAATTGTCGCATCAAAGCAAGAACGATCAATCAGATTCTGCGTTATTCAAGGCTTCAGTATTAAAGACAAATTTAATATGAGTTAACGGTTAACTAAAAAATAATAATAAATAAAAATTCGAATATTAATAAAGCGGATAAGTCAACTTTTTATTTAAATTTCTACAAAAAATTAAACTTCGAAAATTTTTCGAGCAACAAAAATTATTTCGAACAGCGACATTTATATATTTTTTTTAAATTTTTTTTTTTAAATTAACGTTATTTATATTCTTTTAGTATAAATTTAAAATGCTTCGATCGAAGTGCGATTTTTTTTTAGAATATCAGAAATATTCACGAACTTCAAACAGTTGTTTTAATTTACTTTAGTTCGGAATAAACTGTAATTTATATTTCTACAAAAAGTTCACGTTCGAAAATATTTCGAATATAAAAAAAAATTTTAACATAAAAAACTTCGAATAGAAAAAAATGTGCGTAATGTAAAAAAAAAATATGTATCAAACAATATTTTTAGACAAATTTTTTCGAACAGCAAAATTTATATCGAACACCTCCTGTATAAGTTATATGTACATACAACGAATTATAACTGTAAACAGTACTTACAAATCGATCGGAACGCTCTCCACATGGCAAACGCGCTACAGCAACATCCGGACTGTCCTCGGGCGGTGGTGGTTGTGGCACCCAGTTGTATCCACGCCTAGAAATCGGTACACCAAAACGATCATGATGCGAGGCTTGTTGTCTGAAATTGACATTTGCGTACATGCAATGTTCTTATGCTTTTTGCTTCATGTGTGTATGTATGTGTGCAGGATGCAGGCGGCTCAAATCATTTAATGCAATTGTATATAGAAATGTATGTATGTTTGTGCATATATGGCAAATAAATGCTATATGCTAGTGCTTAAGCGAAAGTAGCAATTTAGTGCGGGAAAATATTAAGGATAATTTGGCCAAGCAACAATTCGAAATCAGCAAAATTAGCTACTAATGCAAGTTATTCGTAGAAATATGTATGTATACATATACGTAGATATACATATATATGATTTTTGTTTTTGTTTTTGTAAATGTATGCAATATAAATGTAAATGGAGAAAATTAAATAAATTTTAAGCTCAAAAACGATTTCATATGTACTTGACATTGGAGTGCAATAAATATAAAATATTTTTGTAAACAAAAGCGAAAATTAGTTACACATACATTTACGTTTCTTTTTTGTTATTTCATTTATTTGTATAATTTGCTGTGTGTAACCGCAAGTCTTGTACGTTTTTACAGTGCATTATGGCTTAGTAATTGCGTTGTAGTGTACGGTATTTACATTGTTTTTGGTATGCGAGCAAATTGTTTGCTTAAAGTTCGGTTTGCAAATTGATAGTAAATGTAGTAGGCAATATGGCAAAGCAATAAAAAATGGTATATGCTATATTTACCTAAGGCTTTCGTAGCAATCCAAACAAACCACAGCATATTCGCCGTTCTCCAACAAAAGCCCATCGCCATTTTTGCGATTTTTCACAAATGGAAACTCATTAACCGGTAGTGCGCGCACACGTTTTCGGTACGTCGTAATGCCGCATAAATGACAAATATAGTCATGCCAATTGTATTTGCGTTCGGTTGGTGCTATAGCTGGTGTCTGCGCTTCATACCTGCGAAAGTTGTAGCGGGTAACAATAACAATAATAATAATAAAAAAATATTAACTGTTATCTTAAGTAAATTGTGTGCAGAAAAAATAATGAAAAAATATGCATGAAGTGTACTTTTAATGAGCACACTGCACACACACTTACTTGCGCCACTGATTCAACATGGAGTGGTAGCAGAATGTGCATACGAGTGCTGAGTAATCCTTGCGCAATTGTTCAGCATTTGGCAGCGAGTTGTGTTTGAGGAGATGGGGGAAATATGGTCGTGAGCCCTGCAACAAATAAAAAACGTAGCGTGTAAAATAAAATGTTAATATTATTATAAATAAAAAGTGAAGTGAGATGTTGAACACTTGAAAAGATAAACTTAAAAATGCAATAAATTACTGTTTATCTTTTTATTTACTTTTTTATTATTTTAATTTTTTTTCCTTTTTCTTTCACAGAACAGGGTTTATCATAAGCCCTACATATTCGCAAAAGCTTACCAGTAGATTTTATGTAAGTTCATAATTTTTATATCCCATTTAACAACAAAATAAAAAGTTAATATAACAAAATTAGAAAAAAAAGAATATATTATAGGTTGTCAAAAAAATCTTGCGGTATTTTCGCTAGTTGGCGCTGAGAGCGTAGTTCTAGTTTTATTCAACAAAATTAACTAAATAATATTAAAAATAAAAGATA